TTCACCGACATGCCGAATAAGTGCCTCCGCATGTGTATGTCGGTGTACGTGAGATGTTCGCGCACAAAACGCTTCTTTATCCGCGCCACTTCTCCGTCATTAATCTTTCTTAAACTTTGAACGAACAGTTTTATGCAAAATCCCGCCGCCTATTATCTCCCGAGTGACAGACTTATCGTTAAGTTCTGGAGAAGGTCTTGCGCTCTCGATTACTGGGCGTCGCGGAACGCCGCCGCGTATCATTTGTTAACTCCCGCAGTGAGTTTGGAGAAGAAACTTGTGTGTGTGTGTGTGTTGAAAAACGAAGCGGTGGGAAGCTGCACAGGTGCACATCAGTGCGGATAATTTCGGCAAGGATTTATTCGACACCTTCGAATGCCTTCGTGCAGCCATGGCAAGTGGCTGCACATATTGATGGTCCGTGTCATTCCATCTTGTTCGTTTCCCATAGAAAAACATAATTGTTTGTTGAGTGTAATAATGGATAGTCAATCACTGCTTTAGGTATATTCTGAAAATATTATTATACCTCCTATAAATAATAACCGAGTACAAAGTAATTTCTTGTTACATAGAAAAACATAAATGGAATTGTGTATGTTATTAACTTATTTATTGGTCTATTGTGTAAATCTTCGGAATATTGAATTGTCGAGAATAATAGACGATTGTTGACGGTGCAAAAGGCAGATGTAAATTGTAATGATGTACACGTGATTTTTAAGGACTACACTGAATGAATATTTGGTATTTGTCGCGGTGTAAACAATAGTGTTGTTATAATATGCCATTGTACATCCCCATTATTTTTTAATGAAAAATTAAAATATAAACACAACTTTGGGCATAAATTTCAAAAATTTGTTCCGCGTAATTCTGAATATATAGTAACAATATAATTGAAAAACCCATGTGACATTAAAGCACAATAAAAATTTGAAGGTCGTGAATTGTAATGCACACAATAATGAAGCAATATACACAATTGAACACGCTGGCAATTATTTCCAGTTAGCATTCTTAACATAGAAATAAAATTGCATTAAAGTGAATTCTGAAAACGCGTACGTACCACGTAGTTCTGCATATTTATCATTTAACATAACAATTACCAGCAATAGTTTCTCGACACGCAGTGCATTATGCTTGTGACACCCAGCCGGGCAACCATTTTTATTATTAGTGCGCGTTCGCGTGCCATTCGCACGTTTGCGCAACCCTTTTTTACATCCATCTTTGGGACCTAGCATGTGCATTGCATTTACGTGCGTATTTACATTCACATTCTGCAGAAGTGTACAAACTATTCTAATTAATCGAATACGTGTAAACGTACCTGTATTGCGTGTGTAGGTTTATGTCTAGTTTTGCATAAATAGACTTGTTAAGCCGTTCGTATACTCATATAACACACACTGACAAATTTTATTGAGTAAACGATACCTTTTACTGATTAACATCACATGGCAATTCTTATTATAATCAAATCTTGGTAGAAAAATTAAAATTTGACTTTTTGATATTAATATTTATAAAATAACTAATATTAAATATTTTAACAAAAATAAAGCATATTCAGCGTGTTACTGATAATTTCGTGTTTTCAAGACATAAGAAGAGTACTGATCGTGCTAAAAAATAAAATTATAACCATGCATTCAAGTAGGTATCTCAATTCGTGCGATTCATGCAAGGCTTGATGTTCAAGCGAATTGTGGCTTGTTTCACATTTCACATTTTACATGAAAACATTACTATGCGTTGGAACATCATCCAGTCGAGGCAAAGCAAAACAGAATAGGCCTTGCATGCGCAGCCCGCAAATAGCCCTTATTTATAAAAGACGCGTGAATATTAGCAATGGGAGAATAGACAGCTGGAAACATTAGCAGCTATCTGAGGCGGCATAGCGGGGCTCGTTTACACCGCGCTGGTTTTCTCCTGCTGCCGGTATCCTGCCGCGGCACCAAATAGCGACCTATTACGGAGATACTGTGAAAATAGCCATCACTCGCACATACATACAGGCGGCGCACGCGAACGCACACCAAGACGTTACGTGTAATAACACGCAATTATGGCGGTTCTGAATGTTTGGTTGGAAAATGTGCTCTCATCAAAACCATCTAAATGTCTTCATTCGCACAAAATATACACGTTCTGATAAGCATTGCCCGCAGCATTTAACATTTTTTTGCTTTTCAATGGACTTTTGACATGATAATTCAAAATACGATAGTTTAGCAAATTTAATCATCAAGTTTTAATGTAATTTCTACGTTTTAATTGCGGAAAGAACGGATTAAATTAAAGATCACATTTTCAGTTTGTTTTGTTCTAGTAACCCAGCTTTACTAAATCTAAACTTATGTAATTTTTAACATTTTGTCACATGCGTAAATTTAACAATGGACTAATATCTGCGATATCGAACAAATGTAACGAAGCGTGATAGTCACAGTCTATAACAGTATAAACACGTTCAATGATTCAAAAGATTTATATTACATTGTGTTCAATAGTTAACACCTTTCTGGGTTAAATTGAGAGCAACATTCTGATTGTTTTTTTTTTTATATTGTCCTCAATTACCGTATTTTAAATCTATTTTTAAAGTAAAAGCCTTACTTTGAATTCACAAAACAAATTAATGAAATTGTGCAAAGCGAATAAACGAATGCGCCGCGATTTATCTCATAATTTCGCCGAAAACAAATGAAAAGACATTTTCATTGCTGGAATTTAAAATTTAATTATAATTGCCTGACTTTTATTATCGCCCCTAATATAAATGTACATTTGGGACTCACAGAAAGATAAAATCCACGCTCACCTATCCGGCGTTACACAAGTTTGGCAAAAGTTTTCTTCTCTCCCCTCGGTTGAATCGGTTTTATATTTTAAAAGCGCGAGCGCTGAGGTTGATATGCCCCGGCGTGTTGGTTTGCCAACCGCCCGCCCGTTTTTGCTCGCTTTTTGTGCGGGACTTGTATTTATTAGCCTTTTATCCCTTTTGAAGAATAAGGGGTTAAGTTATGTTCACGTTTGCAGGAGGCGCGCAGCATTCCACTTTTAAAATAATCGCATTTTGCTCTTTTTTCTCCTTCACCGAGCGTCGGAATTAGGCCGTTCACAGTTATGCTGTGCGTATTTGCGCATACTTTGTATATTATAATCTATATAAACTTTTATTGTGCCTTTGCTACCTTCGAAACGAATACAACTTTTTTTGTAAGAAGCTAATATCCGGCGTGTTAAAGCGCGAAATTCATACACGAAACAGGATAGATAAATACAATGGGTCTTATAAAGGCCACGTTTTTTTCATATCCTCTTTCAATTGTGGACTATTCTTTTCTCTGAGTGGTTCTCAGTAAAGTACGAAGACGATGACAAATATATAAAGACCGCACGGCTTTTGTTACAAATTAGTCTGCAGCAAAATGTCTCCACAATCGGTGACACTCTTGATCTATCTGCTTAGCATTGCTGAAGTTTACTGTGGGCCTATCATCATTCGTTCGGGCTTGCATCTGGGCAAACAAGATGCAAACATTCGCGGTTCCGAAACAGGCGCGTTTGGCGTTCACGGTAAAATGCAACTTGCTAACTACGAAGGCGAGGAGGGTTTCAACCGCGGCGACGAAAAACAATTCGCGTCCGCTCAGGACTCGGGGCTCTTCAGAGTTGAGGACAAGGACTTGTTAAAACATCAAGACGAAGCCGATTATCGAGACAAAGCATTTAAGCAAGAAGACGGCGTGAGCATCATGGACGAGGGCAGCAAAAAAGGCCACAAAAAGGGCCATCATAAAACCGGATTTCACAATACCTACCACAAGGACGAAAGCGGATCCAATAGCAGCTATTTTGACGAATCGCTAGATGCTGGCGATCATTTCAATCGTAACAGCAACAAGGGTGTTTTTGCCGACAACGCACAGCGCAATCAGCACGGATATCATCTGAGTGACAAGGAGAACATGAATGGCAATCACCGGCAGGGACAGTATGATAACGGTGGGCAATACATGAAGAATCAAGGCGCGGGTGGAGACTACAGTCGAAAGCAGTATTCTGATAATGGTAAGGTTCTCGACAACCGTGCCTCCGGAAATGCCTACGAAGAAGGTGGCAGATTGGTGCGCGATGAAGTCGTGCAAAAGGCACCATACTGGAATCAGCCGTACGTGCCACCGCCACCACCGCCAGCAGTTCCAATCGCTCCAGCGCATTATCCGTATCGGCAAACACCTTATGACAGTAGAATAACGATTTATGAAGATCCAGCATACATTCGCCATAACAACTATCGCGACTACGACAGGCCACGTTATTACGATGATCGCAGGAATGATTTCGATTACTATTATTAAATGAGATCGGCCGGAAACGTTCTGCATAATTTATTTGTAAAATAATTCGATATTTGCTTCAATTGTATTGATAAATAACAAGCATAATAAATATTTTCTTATACAATTTAACAATTCATTATAAGTCGCCATTTTTTTTTGTTTTATTTATTACTATTGGAGTGGCTAATTAAGATTTAGTAGGTATTACTTCAGAAATGATTATGGAACTTATTTCATGCCACATTATGAGAGCGTAAATAATGTAATTTATTAAAAGATTTTTTTTGTTCATGAATATTTCTTCTAAATTGTTTAATAACACGATATTTGTAAGAATGAAAGTAAATAATCCTTCGTAAGGGAACACACTGTACCCTCTGTGATCGAAAGAATAAAGTAGCAACCCTAAATCGACAGTTTTCCTGCTTCATCCTGCTATTCCAGGTTATCTAACCCCCGGAATCCATAAACAAAATGTCAAATTATAGTCTAGTAACAATATGGCTCACAGTTTTAAAGACGTCCACAAAAAGACGTTCAAAATGTATATCAGAAGAGATAGGATGTACAGAGGTCATTTAGATGAACGTGTGGAACATGGGCAGCATTTGTATCAATCTGATTAGGAAAAGAAAACAAACGTTTAATTATGTTATAAAAAAACAAACAACTTTATTGAAAAACATAGAAATTTGCATTTGATGCGCAATTCACTGCTACCGTTGATTCATTTTCATCTTCTGCCATTGGTTAAATTTTTGGTAGGCAGCATTTAGAAGTTGATTTAAATGTTTTGTGAGATGGTGAGACAATGGTACAAGCTCTCTGATTAGTTTGTCCTGCAATAATACAATATAACATAAAATTAGCATCACCATGCTTACACTCCATCCAAAACTCACTTCGAAAGGTTTCAATCGGGCTGCTTGATATCGATGTAAAGCTTCGTGCATTTTGATAAGTTTCTGCTCTGTGCTCGGATTGTTAGCAGGAAAACATTTCCAAAAATGGCTTAACAATTCGCATAAGCCTAAATACAGATTTCGAACTTCTTTTTCGATTTCAGAAGGCACCAATTCTAAATAATTATTAAACATAAATTAATCAGTCATCAAAGTCATGTAATCAAAACATACGTGCAAGGGATTGCTCTTTAAAACCTCTCATTAAGGCTCCACCTGGTGATAATTCTCCGAGCGCACCAACAGCGGCACACGCACCCATCAACGAGGCGGTAGGCATCCGACTGCGCCACTGTTTCAGTTCTTGGTGCATATTTCGCGATACAGATGCAATTTCGTTAGATGATAGTTGTTCAGTGGCTGTACCAGGCATTGGACCATGTAAATATCGTTCGACCTAATACACAAAATAATAATTCATATAACTCACAATCCCCTATGCGCAACAAATAACACACCTTTGATAAGTTTAAAGTAGCCGAATTCGTATTATTATTGTCAGCACTCGAATCCAAATCTTCATAAACAAGTTTCTCCCTGATCCTCTGCTTTTTGTTTACATGTTCTACACTATCAGCTTTGGATGTATCTGCACCACTAAAGGAATTCTGCCCATTCTGTCCATTTTGTTGTACCTTGTCTATACCGTTTACTTCAACGTTACTTTTGTTACTGGCCTTCAAGACCATGATGGAATGGTAATTGAAACGTTTAATCATGGCTTGGCTAACAGTGCCACCCATACTTGCAGTGGTTGTACTCTTCTCTGCTTGATTGCCATAGCCTTCATCAATGAATTTATCATCAAAGGAAGTAATATTCACCAATGGATCATCGACACCTAACATTAAATCTTTCTTCATTTCCTGGTCATCAATCCTTCCACATTCGGTAAACACATCTTTGCTCTCAACGTATTTTCGATCACGATGGAAGTAATGTGATTGAAAAAACTTGGTCCAAAACTGTGATTCTGACATTTTGGCAGGCACATGTTCCATGTACTTCTTTTTTACGGCTGGATAAGTCTTAAATATGCAGTCAATAATATCAGCTGTAATGTTATACTTGAGACCATTGCAGCCATCGGTTTGTGGTTTGATATCAGCCAAAACGCACCAGACACACCAATTTCTTGTATGTGTGAATTTTTCTGTTGCATATACTGAGATGCATGTTGTGCCCAAAATTCTTCAGATGTAACTACTTCGGTCATCACTAAATCTTTATAAAGTTGTAATAAGGCAGGGTTTGAAGACAAAAGCTTATTTTTCTCTTCTAATTCACGGTCCACCTAGAAAGTAAGCATGAATTAGTAGCTTTATATGTATGTCTTAGAACACCCACCATGAATACATACTTTTCGTTTAAACTTTGGCAGTAATGTTTGTAACAATTCTTTAACTCGGTCTCTGTCAGCAGCTTGTGCTGTTGGCCCAGATTTATTAGTAAAATGAAATGTGGAAGATAAACCAGAATGTAGTACTACTTGCAATTGAACTTTTGATTTGCCCTCCGGAGAGATTTTTTGAGCTAAAAGCGGTTTTTTAGAAAAGTGTACAGGTTAAGAATACATGCCCATACTTTTGATGTCTGCATACAAATGTGAAACAGCAACTGTATCCTTATTTTCCACCATCCACGCAAGCCGTGAATCCATTAGGAACAATGTACCATCACCTTTCTTGAATTTAACTTGTGGAACTTGAAGTAGTACATCTTCACTTGAGGTAGTCATTGTAAGCTGAACCTAAATTTTAATGAGAAATAAATACAGTCATTTTAACTCACATTTCAAAAATAAACTATCAATATTTAGGTAATCAGTACCTGGGTTTAATTGTATTATTAATACTTAAATCGAATGATAAATAAATACGCGAAGCACATCCACCCAGCGCACACAAGTTTTGCGCCTTCTTTTAAGCTTTTCGAGATTCTTTTACTCTTCTGACATGCTTTTGACAGCGGCGAAGCTGGGACAATACTATGAATGCAACTTATTGATCAACAAAGTAAGTTGTGTTGCATACCTTTATTTTATTTGTTTCTCTTATTGTTAACGTGTTTACTTGATTCCTTTTTTATTTTTGTTGCGATGGTTGCGATGGTTGGGATACATGCATACGATTCGTTTTTTTTAAATTTTTATGTTTGAAGAAGCAGCTATCGCTTTTAATTTTATAATTTTGTTTCGGTATTTAAATACGTTGCTGAAAAACGATTAGACCAAAAACGAAATACATATTTAAAATTCATTAATTCACTCTTTAAATCAGACTGAATAGGTATAATTTCAATTTACTTTTATATTTGCGAAAAATGTTATAAAAATAGTTCCGTTTTTCATACTCACAGCAATAAAAGAGTGACTGTGTAAAGCTGTGAAAGTCGACAAATTCTCCGTTTTTATTTTATAATCATATTTATGTATTGAAACACTTTGTTGTTTTGTGAGGTACTATGAAGAGACCTCAGATGGCGCAACGATGTAGATTTACCTCAGTAGTGCGTGAATTTTGTTTTGTTCAATCGGTGCGATAACGACGAGCACACATTCCACACTTTCGGCTTGTGTTATTCGTTGTTGCAAGTTCGGTACAACGTGTTATATTTTCTAAATCGCCGGTGATAATTAGTGTTAATAAACGTGTTTGATCTTTTATCAGCTATTTATCGCGTGTGTAATCTTCGTAATTCTAAATTTTGCGCGTTTAATTTATTCACGTGTTTGTGAGTCTGTTGTCGTCGGGCGACGGCCTGTGATATTTTGTGAGCGCTTACCAAATAATTAATTGACTTGTGAAAAACATATTTGTCATCAACAGAGGAGCATGGATCATCGTGCTCCCAGGTAAATATTGTCATTCCTATGATTATTATGCAAATAACAAGAACTTTAAATTCAAGGTTAAATTCGACGGAACTCAAATTTATTTCAACATCGCACGGAATGCTGTAACTAATGTTTTGTTTTGCATTTATTTCAGTATTCGCCAACTTGTCGTCGATATACAATCTTCCATAACCGGTAAGTAAAATAATTTCATCATTTATAAAAATGTTTGCCGTGTACGTAGATTTCAGTTTAGTTCTACGTTTTATTGTTGTTCTGCAATGTTGTTTGATTACGAGAAACAGTGCATGTGCGAATTAAATATCACTGTAATATTTGATGTAAAATTTGACAATCGGGTAGCGTGAGAAATCAGAATTACATTAATCGAATTTTAATTATTTATTAATTTTTATACTATACGAGTACATAGATAGATAGCATACATAGCATGAACTAAAAATCATAAAATAGACTTGTTTTGTTTATTTCTATATTTATCAGCAAACGTGGGCATTCGACACGAGAATTGTGTTTGTTTGGAACACGATTTACTCTTTCTTATCGCATTCTCTTGTATCGTCGTTGCAATCCTTGCACGCTGCACGTTGCCGTATCTTGTTTACTTTCTTCTTCTAAATTGTCGGCTCGTTGCTTGCTCGGCTACCGCATGCACTATACGTGGATTGCGGTCAATTTCGTGCAGGTAGCTGCTAGCTTCAAACGTATTTCTCGCGACTCGTATCGAAAATTCTCGAAAAACATGATGCAGCACACACACACACACACACAATGGATGTTTTACCCCACGAAATTAAATTATTTTAAATTTCCATCAGATAGAGAATTTTCCTATCTTCCATAATCTACAGTTTTCTGGATGCTATCTCTTTTAGTTTAGAAGCCTATCGAATAGACAATTTTTCGTAGATTAAGAATCTGCGATTTGTTCCTTTATATCTCTTTTAGGTTACGAGTTATTCGCAATTGAAATAAATCGTCAAAAACTGAAAAATTTCACTTTTTAGCAATTTTAGTCGCGATTTTCCACCTTTTACTGTAGGAAATATAATTATTTTAAATTTTTATCTGATAGAGAATTTTCCAGTCTTTCATAATCAGCATGGTGGTTGCCATCGCTTTTAGTTTAAGCGATATTAATTATCAAAAATCGTCGAAAAAAAGTATCAAGCACCCCCCCTTGGCAATTTTTTCTTAAGAATGAAAATTTCATCTCTCAGATTTCCTTTTTAACTATCGTATCTGATAGAGATTGGTCCGTACATTAAGACGCTGCGATCAGATCTTAATTATCTCTTTTAGTTTACGAGATATTCGCGTTTGAATAAAATGGGCAAAAATTGAAAAATGTCACTTTTTAGCACTTTTAGTCGCGATTTTCCACCTTTTACTGTAGGAAATATAATTATTTTATATTTTTATCTGATACAGAATTTTCCAATCTATCATAATCAGTAATTTGTTGGTTACTGTGGCTTTTAGTTTAAGAGATATGAATTTTCAAAATCGTCGAAAAAAGTATCAAGCACCCCTTGGCAATTTTTTCTTAAGAATGAAAATTTCATCTCTCAGATTTCCTTTTAACTATCATTATCTGATGAGGGTGGTCCGCACATTAAGACGCTGCGATCAGATCTTAATTATCTCTTTTGGTTACGAGATATTCGCGTTTGAATAAAATGGGCAAAAAATTGAAAATGTCACTTTTAGCACTTTTACTCACGTTTTCGACCTTTTACTGTAGGAAATATAATTATTTTATATTTTATCTGACGCAAATTTTCCAATCTATCATAATCAATGTAATTTGTTGGTTACTGTGGCTTTTTAGTTTAAGAGATATGAATTTTCAAAAAATCGTCGAAAAAAGAGTATCAAACACCTTGCCAGCAATTTTTCTTAGAATGAAAATTTCATCTCTCAGATTTTACTTGCAACTATCATCTGATAGAGGGTGGTCCGTACATTAAGACGCTGCGATCAGATGTAATTATCTCTTTTAGTTTACCTTGAATATTCGCGTTTGGAGACCAAAATGGGCTTGAAATTGAAAAGAGTACGCAGCGCACGGAGTCGCGATTTTCCACCTTTACTGTAGGAAATATAATTATTTTTAAATTTTTATCTGATGAGAGAATTTTCCAATCTATCATAATCAGTAATTTGTTGGATTTACTGTGGCTTTTAGTTTAAAGAATGATTTTCAAAAGCGTCGAAAAAAAGTATCAAACTTTATGGCAATTTTCTTAAGTATGAAAATTTCATCTCTCGAATTTTCCTTTAATATCGTATCTGATAGAGATTGGTCCGTACATTAAGACGCTGCGATCAGATCTTAATTATCTCTTTTAGTTTACGAGATATTCGCGTTTTGAATAAAATGGGCAAAAATTGAAAAAATGTCACTTTTAGCACTTTGGTCGCGATTTTCCACCTTTACTGTAGGAAATATAATTTATTTTAAATTTTTATCTGATAGGGAATTTTCCAGTCTTTCATAATCAGCAATTTTGTTGAGAGTTTGCTGTGGCTTTTGGATTTAAAGAGATATGAATTTTCAAAAAGCGTCCGAAAAATCAAAGCTTTTATGGCAATTTTTCTTAAGTATGAAAATTTCATCTCTCGAATTTTCCTTTACAACTATCGTATCTGATAGAGATTGGTCCGTACATTAAGACGCTGCGATCAGATCTTGAGTATCTCTTTTAGTTTACGAGATATTCGCGTTTTTGAATAAAATGGGCAAAAGGGTAAGAAAAATGTCACTTTTATAGCACTTTTTAGTCGCGATTCCACCTGCTTTCACTGTAGGAAATATAATTATTTTAAATTTTTTATCTGATAGAGGAATTTTCCGGTCTTTCATAATCAGCAATTTGTTTGGTTGCTGTGGCTTTTAGTTTAAAGAGAATGAGATTTTCAAAATCTCGTCGAAAAAAAGTATCAAAGCACCCCCTTGGCAATTTTTGTAAGAATGAAAATTTCTTCCTCTCGAATTTCCCACAACTATCATTATCTGATAGAGATTGGTCCGTACCAGTAGACGCTGCGATCAGATCTTAATTATCTCTTTTAGTTTACGAGATATTCGCGTTTGCATAAAATGGTAAAAGAGATGAAAAATGTCACTTTTAGCACTTTTAGTCGCGATTTACCACCTTTCACTGTAGGAAATATAATTATTTTTAAATTTTTATCTGATACAGAGAATTTTCCAGTCTTTTCACTTAATCAGCTTAATTTGTTGGTTGCTGTGGCTTTAGTTTAAGAGATATGAATTTTCAAAAATCGTCGAAAAAGTATCAAGCACCCCCTTGGCGAATTTTTCTTAGAATGAAATTTCTTCTCTCCAGATTTCCCCTTTAACTATCGGTATCTGATAGAGATTGGTCCGTACATTAAGACGCTGCGATCGAGATCTTATTATGCTTTTTAGTTTACGAAATATTAAGCGTTTGGAATAAAATGAGGCAAAAATTGAAAAATGTCACTTTTAGCACTTTTACTCGTGTTTTTCGACCTTTTACTGTAGGAAATATAATTATTTTATATTTTACATCTGATGCAGAAATTTTCCAATCTGTCATAATCAATACATTTGTTGGTTGCTGTTAACTTTCAGTTTAAGAGATATGAATTTTTAAAAATCGTCGAAAAAGGTATCAAGCACCCTTGGCATTTTCACCGTAAGAATGAAAATTTCATCTCTCGAATTTCCTATTTAACTATCGTATCTGATAGAGATTGGTCCGTACGGTAAGACGCTGCGATCAGATCGCCAATTATCACCTCTTTTTAGTTTACGAGATATTCGCAATTGGAAATAAATCGTCAAAACTGAAAATGTCACTTTTTAGCACTTTTAGTCGTGATTTTCCACCTTTTACTGTAGGAAATATAATTATTTTAAATTTTTATCTGATAGAGAATTTGCAGATAACTTTCACCAATCAGCAATTCAAATTTTGGTTTGCTGGGGCTTTTAGTTTAAGAAGATATGAATTTTCAAAAATCGTCGAAAAAGTATCAAAGCACCCTTGGCAATTTTTCTTAAGAATGAGGAGAATTTCATCTCTCAGATTTCCCTTTTAACTATCGTATCTGATAGAGATTGGTCCGTACATT